GACCAGTGCATGCTGGGTAAAACATAACAACCATGCATAATAAATAAATACTTCCCAATGGGGACCAAATTCTTACAGTACAGTAATTTCACATACCCTCAATGTAGCAAGAATCTGGATAATTCCCTTTAAAATGATTGGTGTCAATCTCTATCTGAAAAATGAAATAATTACAGGAGATAATATAAGTTTGATCCAAAAGTGTATAAGAAAGAATAATACAAAAAATGGAAGTATTAACAGACATTCATTATTTAAAACAGAATTCTGTATTTGAACTATAGAGGGCGGTACTCACATTTTTTATAATTCCCGGATGTCCAAGTCTGAATACACACCATTCCTTACCAGGTACAATCAGTACACCTTTGTCATCAGCTTCCAATATGGATGGTCTATCAAGCTGTACAGATATTGAAAAAAATACTGCACTGAGTGCTATGTTACATGTGTATTAGCGTTATGGTTTATACTTATGCAAATTGAAATAATTTTTAATAGTTTATCTGAAAAAATAGATGTTGCATAATGTCACATCACTTTTTGACATAAATGGTACAGTTACAGAATGTAGTATAAAGTATAAAAAATGTATTTTTAAACATACATTGACGAAAATATGACCCATGACCCATAAAGGTCACACATCCTGGTTATTCAACATCCTGTAACAACCTGGTACCTGTAATCTTGTGTTGACGTTTTTATTTTTTTTCATTATAAATATATCAGCAACGACAATGGCAGATTTGATGACAAAATGTTGATTTTACCCTTCTAGCAGTCTCCCATCCATCAGCCATACTGCTGGACCTGCCTTCTCTTATTAAGTTTCTGGCATGACCGAAATGGACGTCACTGTAACCAAGGCTAACACCACCGTTCACCATAGCAACCAAATCAATCAACTGGAAAACGAAAATTTAATAATGAAAAAGAAGTTGTAGATACTATTAAGTTAGCGTACTGATATATCAAGTACAAGATTAATTGAATTGGAAGTGGTATTTGTTTGTTTGACGTCGAAACTGAATACAATCTTATTAAGTATGAATAATGTATGAATGTACTGTAGAATACTTTATATTCGCTTGGAATTAATTTTCGCTATTTTCGCTGAATACAACAAAATCCAGTGAATAGTATAAAATCCAGTCAATACACCTTTTTTTCTATATTTTATATTCAACTTTTCAAAAATCAGTGAAATTAAATCCCATACAAAACACCTAAAAAGTCTTTTCAGTGAAAAATTAATTCCAGCTAAAATAAAGTATTCTACAGTACCCTGCCAAGTAATCAATTTAATACGCTGTGTATATAGTACGCAGCAGAACCCTGAATTTTAGTTTGTAAATGCATTTATAAATA